AACCGTACCGTAGAAGTGAACATCACTGGTCATATGTCCTTGGCGGGACACAGCAGAACCTAAGCAACGCACAGTTCCAAGGAACAATTTTCAAAACGCTCCCTCCCACCACCCCCTGGGCTTTCGGGTTATAAAGTTCATTAATTCCCCATTGGGCTAGAACACAAACCTATACACGCTACGAGACAGGCGGCTCAGATAAGCCTCTCGGAGTAGATCTCCAAATAGAATCTTCATACTAGTAGGCAAATCGGCTGACACATCTTCTTCACACCTGCATGACCCAGGTCAAATGCTTTCTAATCTGTTTATGTTTGTTATTGGTTTCAGATTGCCGCCATGGTCTACACTTACATATAGTGAATACAATTCTTTAAGTGTTGTAGGCGCTAAACAGTGATTGTTTATCTAAAACAGTTTACACAATTGTGCAAATATAGCAGCACCTTAAAGTGTACTTAGCCCCAAAAACACTCCAAATAGATTAAAATATTTTAACCCCGTAAGGACCAAACTTCTGGAATAAAAGGGAATCATGACATGTCACACATGTCATGTGTCCTTAAGGGGTTAAGGTGCACTGTGCCTTTAAGACAATTTTTTAAAAATAATTTTATATATAAAACCCACGTAATTGGTGAGTGTAATATTTAAAGTGCAAAAATCTATGTGCTTAATTTACACTGAAAGTGCACTTTACTCTGTGCTAAAAGCTTTTTACAAAGTGCAATTTGTATAAAGTGCAATTTCTTGTGCAAGAACCACTATGTCATGCATAGAGTAATCACTTACTTAAAACATTTTTTAATGGTATGCGAATTTCAATGTACATAAAAAGGAAATAAAAAATATATAGTGCATTATAGTTAAAATACAAGAGAGAGTAAAATTATATGAATGAAACCACTCACAAACAGAGCCTGCTCTAAGTGTAATCGCCTTGATAAAACATCCAAGTGAATAGGACTTTGAAGCCTCCGGTGTAGAAAACAGTCTTTATTTTAACATATTTAAAAAGCTGTGCAAAGCAGCTAAACCTCCATACAACCCGACTGCACAGTTCCATGGATCAGTCCGTCTGCTAAATGCCGCCGGCTTATCTTTTCGCTGGCTTGCATTCGGAACTGTCCTCACAAACTGCGGGTCGTTCCGGGAGGCGAGGAAAACCTGATGACGTCTCACACTGTGCTGGATAACTAATTTTGCCAGGTTTCCGGATTCATCAGATCTGCCATGAAGCCGGAAACCCGGTGAAACTAGTAGGACACGTTATCCTCTTGAGCCGGTATATAAATTTCTGACCTCTCGCTCTTCACCAAACCACCATTAGAATCTCAGCGTGGTCTGTCTTCCCTCGCTAGATAAATCTGCCTATTCTTCGGCTTTCATGTCCCACACAACGCGGCTATGTGTAGTCAACGTGTCACGTTATCGCTCCGCCCTCGCTGGAGAATATATTCTAATCTATTGACCCCTTGGAAAGTCTTGTATTGGTATGTTTTTACTTTCTCACAAGTTATGGAATTTTCCAGGCATAAACCCCCTGTAAAAAAAAACATAATTTTTTTCCCCCATATATGAGTATGTTGATCCTCATTCACTGAATTAACCCTTTTAGGAGTTGGTGCCAGGTCTGCTTGCCCTTTGCATGTTAGTTACCAGTGGAAGGCCCCCTTAGCAGGTTTATTCTGGAAAGTTATATCTCATTTGTTTTAAAAAAATATGTTAAGTCCCTAAACACTAAGAATCATTTCTGGTGGTTTGTTCTGCTGCCCAAGGGGAGACACCTCTTGGCAACCAACTATCTACCAAGGTGTGGTTTAAGGCTGTGGTGTACTTGAAATATATTGTTATTCTATGTGACCTGCATTTGTTTTTTTCCTCTTGGAACTTTAAATATGTCATTTTATATACTAAAAAATGGAAAATGTTAAAATACATATTCGTTTGTATATATGAGTGTCCAGTTACAGATGTTCTGTGTCCTGTCTACAGTCAGTAGAGGCTCTTGAACGTTTACATGTCTCCAGCTAGAGTGCCATATGAAAACAGTCCCTGTAACCTTTATAGGTGTTATTCATTATTGTGTTTTGAATGCTTACTTTCCTGACCAGCGTTGGATGTATGCAGATAAAGGCATACAGTTTACAAATGTGTTTATGTCTCAAAAAAACAACAACTATTGTGTAAATATACAGGAGACTCTTCTTAAACTTATGCACAGATGGTATATGGTTCCCACAAAGCTGTGTAAATTTCAATCAAACACTTCCAATTTGTGCTGGAGATGTAACTGGTGTCCCGGTTCATTAAAACATATTTGGTGGGATTATTTTAAACTGAATAACCTCAAATTAGAAGTCACTAAAATCTTTGCAGAATTTAAATTATATATTACTTTAACTCCAGAAAGGTTTCTCTTAGATATATATATTTGTGCTCGGAATTTAATATGTAATGGATAATGTCAGAGATAAAAGTTGGTTGTGGTGTGCCGAAACCAACGTCCGAGTGGGCCTGTAAATAAAAGAGGGCCCACCAAGGAGAATTGTATGTACTAAGGGTGTCGGTGGGTGGGGAACACTTGAACTCGAACGTCAGAGGTGAGTAGGGGCTGGGTGTTTAAGTAGGGGACTTACTCCTCCCACAAATTCAGCATTGTCTTTCTACTTGTGCGCGGAATTTAATATGTAATGGTTAATGTCAAAGATAAAAGTTGGTTGCGGTGTGCCGAAACCAACGTCCGAGTGGGCCTGTAAATAAAAGAGGGCAAAGAGAAGTTTGAAAAAAACACACTTTATTGCATTTGATTACATGACTAAATTCCTGAAGGCTTGGCGAAGTTCTCTTTCTGGCCGTGGAATATACGTATTGTATATAGAGGACTTCCAGCGGCCCAGTCTCTTTATGATGTGGACCGGGGTGTTAGTGCCAGAAGCTGATGAAGCGGCTCCTATGCGAAAAGAATGCCCAGAGAATGAAGTTGGGTTGTAACCCAATTTTCCCAGTAAGGTTCTGACATATGTGGTGAATTTTGCTGTAGTGAGTGGGTGCCCTTGTAGTTGTAATAGTGGTGAGTCTGGTAGGTGTGTGCTATAAGCTGACCGTAACATGTCTAGTGTCCAGGGGAGGGCTGGCAGCCTTAGGCCTGGGGGGCAAAACCAGTCAAGAGGCCCATTGCACCACCAAATCAGTGCAATGGTGCCCACCTTTTCCTGGATTTATAACGGATATTGATGTTATGCTAATCAGTAGCTCTTTGCCATACCCGCTCCTTCACGGCTCTGACTTTCAATGTTGTCAGAGCGCAGGCTGAGAATCTCTGAGCCTGTGCTCTGACTCACTAACTGAGCGTCGGAACCACGAGGGAGATGCTATAATCTGACTGCACCTACTGCTGGTGCGCACCAGTGGACCACCAGCGAATCGTTTAAATTGAATAGGCTGGTGTCCCCAACTTGTGAGCTGTGTTGTCCGCCGGGCGCCTCTGTTGTGATGGCACCCTGCGTGACCGCACAGTGTCCACACCCCAATGGCTGGCCCTGCTGACACACACTGATGTTACTACTTAGAAATCCCTCAATATTAATACAGACAGCAGAGTAAACACCAATAAACTGTGGAAACAGATCTGATCCCACCCAAATTTATAAAGATTTGCTTACTGGATTTGTTGTAAGATTGA